TTTTACTAAATAAAAAAAAGATGAAACATCGCGTCACATCTAAATGGTCTGGTGTTGTGAATAAAATGTCGTAGGTTTTTTTTGTTGCTTCAATCAATCTTTCATTTTACCCACTCATCAATAAAGATGCTTCTAAAATTGGTGAAAAAAAAATTTTTCTTTTCATTGTTGTTAATGTTAATGGAATTCAATTATTCGGAATTATTTTTTTTTATACAAAACGAATAGCCACAAAAAAACAGTCTATTTGCCTTGGTGATTTTGGCCAAAAAAAAAATATCAAAGTCTTCAATCAATCCTTGGATGATGATGATGATGATGATGATACATGTCAGTATTTTATTCATTTGTATATTGCTTTTTTTTGCACATTTCATTACAAATAGCATCCATTCATCATCATCGTCTTTTTCATTATGTTGTGAGCATATGATGATGATGGAACGATTGAAACAGTGGCGGATCTACTATTGGGCGCAGTGGGCAGTCGCCCAGGGCCCAAACAAAATTTTTCTCTTCATTTTCATTCAATGGGGAGAGAGAGAAGCTAGTGCAAGATGTTATTAGCGCCGAGGGCCCATAGAATGAATGACTGATCAGCCACTGGACAGAAATGTATGGATGTAAATGTCTAAAATAAATCCAAAATCTCAATCAAAATGTTTTAAACATTTGTAATCATCTTATTCATCATCATCAACAACAACAACAACAAATCATCAACATGAACAGATTCACAACAAACATAATGATTATATTTACAAGAAAATATTATAATCATCATCTTGTATTTCAATTTGTACTATTAATCCAAAATGAACAAACAATGAACAAAAAAAAAAAAAAATTTTTTGTTCATTGTTTCAAAATTATATTTGCAGTGTTCATCATTGCAAAATTTATAATTTGCTGCTAGCGTAATACATATAAAACGTGTATATATATATTATGATGATGATTAACACACACACACAAATCTCATGTTCAAAAATAAATCAATTCAATGAATTTTGATTTTTGTGTTTTCACACATTTTTTTTTTAATTTTCACAAACATTTAAAAACAATCCAAACCTTGATCTTCTTCTTCTTCTTTTTTTTCTTGGAAAAAATGTATGTTCGTTCATGGTAGACAGATCGATGATGATGAACAAAAATTATAATCATCCGTGAATGATGAAGATTTTATCAGCAAAAAAAAACTTTGGCATTTTTTTTCAAATTGAAATTAAACTTGTGACAATTTTCTCTTTTTGTTGTTGAATGATGTTTCTTATTAAGGCATTTCCTTCGTTTTCATGGTAAATTATGACATCTTGACAATCATGGTCGGAATGTTTGGTTTGGATTAATAAAAAAAAAATTTTGTGAAAAATTGGCTAGAGGTCGCTAAAATCAATGTTTTCATTGATACAGAAGGATTGACAGAAAATTTGTTAATTTATCGACTAAAACCACCACCATCACCATCACCAATTCGGTCATATCTTTTCGAAAATCAAATGAATTTTTTTTCATTTCAAAAAAAAATTTTTTTTCATTGTTTCAAAATTATATTTGCAGTGTTCATCATTGCAAAATTTATAATTTGCTGCTAGCGTAATACATATAAAACGTGTATATATTATATTATGATGATGATTAACACACACACAAATTTCATGTTCAAAAATAAATCAATTCAATGAATTTTGATTTTTGTGTTTTCACACATTTTTTTTTAATTTTCACAAACATTTAAAAACAATCCAAACCTTGATCTTCTTCTTCTTTTTTTTTCTTGGAAAAAATGTATGTTCGTTCATGGTAGACAGATCGATGATGATGAACAAAAATTATAATCATCCGTGAATGATGAAGATTTTATCAGCAAAAAAAAAAAACTTTGGCATTTTTTTCAAATTGAAATTAAACTTGTGACAATTTTCTCTTTTTGTTGTTGAATGATGTTTCTTATTAAGGCATTTCCTTCGTTTTCATGGTAAATTATGACATCTTGACAATCATGGTCGGAATGTTTGGTTTGGATTAATAAAAAAAAAATCTTGTGAAAAATTGGCTAGAGGTCGCTAAAATCAATGTTTTCATTGATACAGAAGGATTGACAGAAAATTTGTTAATTTATCGACTAAAACCACCACCATCACCATCACCAATTCGGTCATATCTTTTCGAAAATCAAATGAATTTTTTTTCATTTCAAAAAAAAAAAATTTTTTCTTAAATCAGCACCCATAAAAAATGAATAGGAAGTTGTTTGAATGAGAATCCAACCGAGAAAGAGATTGAATGAAAGATCAAAAGAGAACAAGATAATTATTGAACACAATCAATAATAACTGGACCGGTCATCATACATGATACACATGTTTTTTTTCACAATATTCAAGTTTTGATGTTGAGTGTAACTAAAAAGCACCCATTTAAAAAAAAAACATGGCAAATCAAATTGTTGGACAACACAGATTAGTTCATTCAATCCATCTTTGTCTTAATTTTTGATTTTCAGGAATAAAAATTTTTTTTTGTTTTTTTGCAATTAAATTTCAGCTATTTTACACACAATTCAGAATTGATACCCATCCCTTTTGGCTTGCGTTGATTGATTGATTTGACATTGAATTGAATTTGCTTGTTTTTAATGGTAATTTTTTTTTCAATACACTTATTACTGTATTATAATTGACAAGATTGTTTTGCATTGAATATATCATGATTATCAACAGTGAAAACATCGACAGGGGGTATTGATAAATGAAATTTCAAAAAAACAAGTAAAATAAATGAAAATAAATCATTAACCAAAAGTATAAAATTAACATAATTCAAGATGATCAAATTCATATGGAGATGGATGGTCTCAAATAAATGGGAATTCATTTGTTTGACATGCGGAAATATCTGAATATGAACATTTTTGTTTTCAATCTATTTATTTGTTTGTTCGATTAACTTTTTTTTTTGAACAAACAAACAAACCACCATCGATGATATATTATAACAGGATCTACAGTGAAGATTTTTTTGTTGCTGCTGCTGCAAACAAATGGAGAAACAAAAAAACAAAAATCGACACATCAAGAATAATGATGATGATGATGATGATTTTGGCCAAAACATGGCAAATATCGATGAACGAAAAGCAGGAAAAAAAATTCAAATTATTCTCATCATTTTTTTCCTATTGTTTGTTTCTTTTCATTTTGTGCGTGTTTCATATTTTTTTTTTTGATGTAAATAGGTGAAAATTTATTTTCAATTCTTGGGCAAGTCATCTCGAATGGATCATTAGATTCTCTCATTATCTCATTATTCATCTCAAGAAAAAAAAACAATATGATCCTATTGGTTTGATCCATGTGGATCATAATTATCTTCATCATAATTAGCTCACACACTGTTTTTAATAATAATGATGATGATGATAATGGTGGTCGATTGATTTTATCAGATTTTAATAGATCCTGGATAACTGCTAATCATCGAGAAAATACAATCAATATAAGATATCATTCAATTGCTATTTTTGTGTGTGTGGTCTGATTGAATAAAAAAAACTCCACCTTTTTTATCATTTTTCGTTTGTTTTATCTTATGAAATTATCAACAGAATAATTTTCTTCAATCATTATTATTTGCCAAAGAATTCAATGACCAAATAATAATCGCATTTGTTTTTTTTTCATTTTTTTCATTCCATTCTAATTGCAAAAATCAGCCAACGACAAACTTTTTTTCCTTTATCATCATCATCATCATTATTGAACGATGAAAAACTTGAAATTTTTTTTCAAATGTGATGAACATGAATATATACGAGTCAGGAAGCATATTGTTGTTGTTGTTGTTGTTGTGTATTGTTTGCTGTTATAATTGTTGATAATTTTTTTTATTTCGTTTGTGCCAATTTGTTCAACAAATTACTATATAGAACAACAAGAAATAAAAATATCAAGTTCACCCCGTTTTTTTTCTTTTCTTCATGTCCGATTATCATTGATTGACCCAACAGCAGCCAATCAATCAATCAATCAATAATAATAATATAATGGTAATCAACCATGTGATTCTCATATTGATCTATTGAACCAGAAAAAAAAGAAAAAATTTCCATATATTTAGAATTAACAAGAAAAAAAAACAATCTGCATGGTTCTATCTGGAGACGGTACCAAAATAAAAAAAAAAAAAATGAAGGGAAAATTTTCATTGTTTTGTTGTTGTCGAACATGATGTTTTATTATGCATTGCATGCCATGTTATTACATGAAGGAAAAAATCATAAACATTTGACCAATACGGAACAATTAGTGTGATTATTAATCAATGAACAACGAAAATATAAAAAAGAATGAAAAATACAATTGTGCAATATGCATAAAGGATGATTTCTGAATGCTGTAGTCTAACAATCAAAACTTGAATTTTCTCTCTCTTTTTCTTTCCATTTATCCAGCTATTGTTGTCTATTATTGTTTAGCCATTGGCATTCCATATGATAATCTTGACCGTTTGAATCGAATCAATTTTATTTGCATATAAAGCTACCATCATCATCATCATCATCATCATCATTCAATATATCGCTCGTGATTGCAAGATTAAATTCCAAAATTTTTCATTTTTGTTTTCATTACTAAATACAGCAAAAGCTTTTTGATGATTTTGAAATTCACAAGTCCGGTAATAATTTGTTCATCGGCACATACTTGAAACACACACACACACACACACACACGTTAATTAATTCCAATCAAAGAAACAATCATCAATTGATTGAATAAGTCAACTCAACTCTGTTCTTTGGGACATGCATGTGATAATTATATGCATGGAGATTCACATTCATTATATATTCATTTTACTTTACTTTATTTTTTTTTCGTCTATTCGGTCATGAATTTCATTTGAACAGTTGACCTAGGTTCTGAGCACAAGTCAAAAGTTTCAACATTTTTTTTTATTGTTGAATTTGTGATTGGAGAAAAAACATCATCATCAACAACAACAACAACATTTTATTTTATTTGCAAGAAAAATCAATTATCATCACGTATTAGGCACATGAAATCCATTCCAATCATATAGTTCTAATTTGGATTCGAATCCAATAAATTTTTGAACATTTTTAAATAATTCACCTAGCATTTGATAATTTGGTTTCTGATCAAATCCTAGATTTTTTACAGTCATCAGATATTGTTCAAATTCTGGTAACATATTTTGACAAATTGATTGTGCTGATTTCTCTTTACATTGTGCTATTCGTCCATGACATTCTTGTTCATCGACAATGTTTTCCAATTTCATCCACGGTAGTTCACCACGAAATAAATATACCAATAAATAACCAATCGATTCAAGATCATCACGACGACTTTGTTCAATGCCACGATGAGCATTTATAGACATGAATCGAATGTGTGTTCCAATATGAAGTGGACCACTAACTTGTTCCGATGATATATGTACCATGTTGCCTTGTTTTTCTTCTAGATAATTTTTACACCATTTTAAATCCACCGCATACATCCACATCCATTTATCTAGACCACTGACACCATACAGAAAATGTTCGGGTCTAATATTCTGATAGACGAATCCACGATCATGAAAAAATTTCATTAAACACACCAATTGATAACCGATTTGAGCTAATGTTCGGATTGATAATCGTTGTTTACATCTATGCCAGATATCCAATAGACTTGGACCCAATAATTCAAGAACAATTGCTTCATAATTCAATATTGATCCTAAATAAAATGGACGCGGTACACGTAACATTCCTTTTGATGATTCCAATGTTTTATATACTTTATATTCCCAACGAATAGATTCAACATCATCGTTATAATTTTCATGTTTCATTTTAATAAAAATCCAACGTGTACGATCCGATTCATGATAGGTACCAAGATAATAATTGCTAAATATTTCGGTATTGAAATGTCTTTCAATTAAAAAACGTCCATCCAATAATTGTCCTGTTGGAATCGGGAATTTTGGTTTCAAATTTGTTTTCGGTGATGATGTTTTTGATCTGGAGCGACTTTTTTCCATTTGGCTCACGAGACAAAAAAAAATACAAAACAATTCGTTATTCATATGCATGTGTTCAGGGATTTATATGTGAACACAACAAACAAAAACTAATTGGAACTAATCAAAAAAAAAAAATTAATTTACATGTTTTTATTGTGTTTGATTTATTCGAGAAAATAATCGATAATAATTATTCTGTTATTTGTCCAATTCGCTCATTGTATCTTCGCTCAATAACCATTGATGAGTCAAGATTTGTGTGGCAGTCAATCGTCGTTCTTCGTTCATTTCCAACAATTTCAAAATTAGATCTTTCAATTCTTCTGAAATATTTTCACGTATTCTGAAATGAAAAAAAATAATTAATTTTTTAGAACACCAGATGGCATTAAAATAGCGGGTTTGTTTTATTTTATTTTTCTTTCAAAACACATAAACATAAAAACAAATGTGTCTGATTTTTACCTGGAAATGATGTATGATTTATCCATATGTTCAATCATCATTCGTTTAGGATCACGATGATGGAATGGAAATCGATTATGTGTCATAGCATACAACAGAACACCCATAGCCCATGTATCGGCTTTGAATGGATTGTATGGCTGTCTTTGAAAAATCTGTGGACAATAGTATGGTAATGTACCGCAGAATGTTTCACTCAAAATATTCTCATCATTCATATCAAGTACATCGGTGGCGAAACCAAAATCCGTTAATTTAACTTTCCAATTTTCATTGAGCAATATATTTTCAATCTTAATATCACGATGTGCTGTCCACATTTCTTCATGAAGATAATTAAGTGCTCTGCTTGCTTGTTTGAACCAAATTCTAGCTCGTCTTTCGATTAGTGCACCATGTTGTTTGAGATATTTAGCCAGATCACCATTGGAAGCAAATTCCATGAATACATAGATTTTTTTATTCGAACGGATTATATCATATACACGAATTATATTCTCATGCCGTGTTTCCATCAATGCAGCCAATTCACGTGGCAGAAATTTTTGCATATACTTTTGACTACAACGCAACAGATCGATAATTTTCACTGCACAAATTTCATTTGTACGGCTTCGTTCGGCTTTATAAACTTCGCCATAAGAACCGAAACCAATAATGGTCAATAGACGATAACCTTTTTTCGTAAACACTAACATCGTACGTTCATCAATCTGTGCCGTGGTAGTTGGATCCATTAGTTTAGCACGTCTTTCTTCTTTTTTAGTTTTTTTTGACATTTTTTATGTATGTGTCTGTGTGTGTGTGTGTGTGTGTGTGTAAAACACTAAATAAATATATGGCACAACAATGAATGATTGATTGATACAAACTAACGCACTCGAAACAAATAATTCAATGGCTGTAATCATTTTATATATGAGTTGATTAAATTTTGAATTTCAAGTTTTTTAATTTTAATTTGATTTGAAAAAAAATTGTATAAAATTAGCTTTTCATTATCATTATCATCATCATCATAATTTGCATTTACATATATCGTAGTCACAATTAATCATGGATGTGTGTTACAATATGGAATTTTTTTTTTAATATAAATCAAACGACGATCGACGATGCAAATGTTTGTGTTGAGAAGAATGAGAGCAAAATTTTTTCAAAGTATTCAATTCTAAGTCACAATGATGACAATTATATTTATATATAAAACAAAAACAAATGATGATGATTGATCCCAGATAGAGGGCAACATATCGAATGTGATATAATAATAATAATAATAATAATAATATGTCACTTTAACATTGGAAAAAAAATGAAACACGTGATCAATTTTGTTTATCTATCGACATTATTATCGACCATTGACACCACATTATTTCCTACATTTGTATCGGAATTTTTTGATGAAATTTTACGATTGTTCATGATATTATTATTTGTGTTCATCATTTCGGTCGCATCAATCGATTCATCATCATCATTATCATTATCTTTATTACTTAAATCATCATCATTATTATCGATACCATTTTCGGTTGCATTTTTATATTCTTGTTCCAATGATGATATTTGTAATGTTGAGAGATCAATATGAGGTTTTGATTTACGATATCTTCTAAATGATTGTTTAATATTATCACTAAGTTCAGGATCAGACATCTGATTGAAGAAAAACAACAATTAATTGGTTAATTCATTTGAAAAAAAAACACAAACAAACCTGAGTATACGATTTATCACTACTTGTAATTGGTAATAGATCATCATCACCTAATAATAAATCTTCATCGTCAATCATGTTGTTGTTGTTGTAAGGGTCCAAAAACAATGAAGAAAATAAAAATGGATCATCACAATTATTTAATGTTGCGGCTATTTCGTCAAAAGTTGGATTCTGTTTGGCTAAATCATCAATTTTTAGCCATGCTTCTTTTCGTTCTTTCATTTTAAGCTTTTGTCTACACAGAAAAATGAAAAAAATGACCAATTAACATGAATTCAATCATAATCAAATGTTCAAAAAACTTACTTTTGTTTTTCAGCTTTAAATGAACATAAACATTGATGGAACAACATTTGATTCATTTCCATGAAAAGTTTTTGTGCATTATAAATGAGACCATGTATTGTACGATTCCAATGTGATTTTGCATTACGAAATAATGCTGAAAACATAATGGGCAATATCACCTGTATATTATCGCTCATCAATGTGACAATATATTCATTATTCCAATAATAGAGAGCACGTTCTGCCACCTGAAAATGTGGCGATGAAACACATTTGGCCAATTGTTTAAAAAGAGGTATCATGACTTTTTGAAATTCTGCCGGTTCAATTACATCCAATATTTCTTCCAATTCATTTAGAAACATTACCTCTTTTGGACTATGCACTTTGGGCCAATATTTTAGTAAACTTTTGATTACCTTTAAAAAAGTTAAACAAAACAAGACAAAAAATTGATACAATTAGTTTATAATGCAATATAAAAAAATATATCTACATACAGGCTCTGTAAGGCTGGGATCTTTTTCCAAGAATTGCACAACACAATATGCCAATTGTGGATGATAAACACTTAATGATTTTACTTTATGTAATGGCATCAAAACTTTAAGTAAAAATACTTTATGTTCTTCTTTCACTGGCAATGAGAAGCCATTGATGATGCTAACAAAAATTGAATAAAACAAATAAATGAAAAAAGATGATGATTTTTTTTTCAAAACAACAAACCTTCCCAGAATTTCCAATAATTCAGCAATGCCATTATGTCGTTCGGTTTCATAAATAAAACGATAAAATATATTGTTAATTTGCTTTCGTATATAGGCACGAAGTCCTAGAAATTTTCCATAAATACGATGTAATGATGTTTTTAGAAAATCACGTTCACGAGGATCTTCACTATCGAATAGCTCCAATAACTGATAGTATAACAGAGAGAAAAAAAATTAATGACAACAGATTAACACTCATGCACACACACACACACATCATCATCATCATCATCATCATATTATTATTAGCTTACTTGGAGAACAAATTTTTGATCAAAATATTTTTTAGCAATCGATGCCTGAAAATCAGGTGATTCTAAAAATCGTAGAAAAAATTCATAAACATGTTGTAAATGTGGCCATGCAGCTTCTAATGTTGGTTCATCTTCTTCAGGGTCAAATTCAGCTCCATTTGGATTCGATGATGGTGGTAATACACGAAATATATTCACAGAAAACTAAAAAAAAGAGAACAAATAAAAAATGGATTAAAAACTGAATTTAATGAAAATCATTGAAATTGAGCATTGTTTATCAATATTTTTTTCTGATCCAGACACACACACACACACTTCCCATAAGTCATTCTCAAGTTGTTTTTTTCCGTTCAACCGGAATTCCGTACACACTTTAAACGAAAAAAAAAATTCCTTCACCCATATATCAATTAAATTCTATTGAAATAATTTCCATTCTTTTGTGCAGTATACTATAGGAAAAAAAAGTTGAAATTTGGGATTTAATCGAAAATTGAAAAAAAAATAATAATGAAAATCACATAACACAAGAGAATCAAATAAATTGCCTGCTGTCTATGTTATTTTTTCCATTTTCAATCAAACAATATTGAGCGGTACATGATTCAAGAATGTTCAAAAAAGATTGAAAAAGAAAAATTCTTGATTCAATTTACATCTGGTATATTTACTTGATTCATGTTAGTGTACAGGGATCCGGTACTCATGCACATCATAACCAACATCTTCTACATCATATATATAGAGAAGAAAAGCTGAAACTTGAATCAAAACAAGAATCCAATTACAGTTTAGATTATATATTACGACAACGATAACAATGTCGAATTATAAATGCAATCTTTGAAAAGAGAATGTAAATGGAAGACAAAAAAGAAAACGAAAAATACAATGATCCATCCTGGGTGCTTGTGCTTGTTGTTAAAGATTATGATCGACAGCCAGCCAAAGAAAACATGGTCATAAAAAAAACTTTTTCAAAATCATAACTCTAATGTAAATGTAAATGTGTATGGTGGTATATAATAGCAACGAAACAAGATTTGCAACAACAAAAATGTGATCCATATATAAATCCTATATATCAAACATGAAAAGAAAATTTATGATAATTTCCATTGTATACAAGATTTTTTTTCCTGATACATTATCTAGATCCAACAAAAACAGCATTACTGACGCATTTTTTTCCGATCATAATCTTGTTGTTGATTATGGATGATAATAATGAAACCGGTACTTTATCCGTACAAATTGCAAATTAAAAAAAAAAATAAGCATCAATGGGCTTTAGTTTCAACATTAATTTGATTCGCTGACCAATGGAAAAAAAGTTGTCAGGTAACAAAAAATATATATATATATATCGATAGTATCGATACCAAAATTCTAGCTAAAATGAACAATAAAAATTTTTCAAAGGAAAAAAAAAGTTAAATTCAAAATAAAAAAAAAATTAAGGTACATGTACTACAGCGTTTTAAACAGCAAAAAAAAAAATAAATATCCAGACATGAAATGTCATTCAGACATTACATTGCATTTGAGATGAGTATGGAAAATTCCAAAAGAAAAACTTTTTAAAAAAATGATCAAGATGTTTCATCAGTGAGGAAAATTAGTAATTCAATGAAAAATCAACAACAACAACAACAAAAAAAATGACAACCAGATAAAACCTGATATCGATATATTACCTTGAAAAAAAGCAAAATTTCAAGCGAAAATTAAGCAAAACACGCCATTTCTATCATCATAAAGAAAAATCCATCCAAATTTTAACAGATCAATGAATATTTAAACAATCAAAAAAAAAGAATCTTGTCCACTATAACATGATTATTTTCAATGAAAAAAAACTAATGATTAATTGAAAATCATCATCGTCATCAATATCATTGACAATAATCATTCTTTCCAAAATTTTTTATGTTGGCCTGATTTGTAAAATTTATGGACACACAACAACACAAATATTGTGTGTGTGTGTGTGTGTGTGTGCGCGGTGTGCCAGAGATGATTAAACTTGGTCACGCAATAAAGGTATATATCACAAATTTTAAAAAAAAAAATAACGAGTCATTATTGAAACAACAACAACAACAATGATGATGATGATGAAAAAAATCAAAAGCTTTTAGAATGACTTTGCTTTGCAAACCAAACCAAAAAAAAAAAATCAGAAATGGTTGCCTAGGCATTTCTCATACACACAGAGAGAAATACCAAATACAAAAATTTTATATACAATGTAAACAACACACATCAACCTAATAAATTCCATTTCATCATCATTTCTTAAGTGTTAAATCCATCTTACAACCATTTTAGTCGGAGTACCTGTATACTAATTGACAAAAAAAAAAATTTTTTTTTAGTACTCGATAGGCACGAAAAAAAATAAAGAAAAAAAAATCCAGAGGCAAAAAAAAATCCTTTATCAACATCTTACAATATGATTTATGATGATCATCAACGACGACTAAATACACATCAACTCGGATCAAGTTTGAAAAAACAACGACTATTTAGTTGAAAGGAAAAGAAATTATTAACAAAAAAAAAAAACAAGATTCACGCACGCGTCAAACTATTATATGTTGCTGTTGTTGTTGTTGCTGAGCTGGAAACCAGAAACCGTGGGCGCCGGTAATTGAAATTGTGGATTCTCAATACATAAATATAGAAAAAAAAAAAAAATAAACAGCACAAGCAACAACAAAACTAGATTGAGTTCACATAGAAAATCAATTATGATCTCAAAAGAAAATGGCCCTGGTTTGTAATCATCGTCAATGTCCAAAAAAAAAAAAAAAAAAAAAAATTTCGAAAACCACCAGTCAGGATAAAATGGAAAATCAAAATTACTGTCTAGAATGTGTAATGATTTTAAAATTAAATTTTAAACAATGGATCCAAACCATTTGCAAATGAAAAAAAAAAAGTGGATTGGATAATTGGAAACAAAACCACCACAGTGATCTAATACTTACCATATGAACAACTTCAGGATAAATTGCTTCAGTAATGACATTATTCTGCGTAACAATATATTCAACCAATTCATGTAATGTTTGCCGCTTAATATCTTTCCATTTGAGATCAGATAATGGATCCTGACTGAAATCAAACAATACACAACATTGTTGTATTTTTTGTATAAATAATTCTTCACGTTCATTTAATGGTGCATCTTTTATTGGTGGTAATTTGATCAATTCACGATTCTCACTAATCTCAAAACGTGAAGCACTTAAACGACGTTCACGTTTTTCTGCTACTGGTGAATGTGGTTGATTCGTTGTCCATCCGGTAACATGACAAGTTGTTGTTGGAAACCCTGCTGCTGCTGCTGTTGTTGTTGTTGTTTCATTTGTATTTATTAAATTTAATGACATTATCACCGGTACATGAGATGATGATGAAATTGTTGATGTTGATAATGTTGATGATGTAGATGATGAATCAATATTTGTATTTTTATTATCTAATCTAAATAATTTCTCACTATTATCATGAATGGAATTTTCGATCATACCACCATCATCAACATCATTCTGATCATTTTGATCACCATTATCACTAGAATGATGATGGTTAATTTTATCAAAAGCCATAGGCATCATTGTGGTTAAAGTTGTCGCAGTCGTCGTCGTCGTCGTTGTTGTTGTTGTTGCCGATGATGCTGAAACCATAGTTGTGGTAGTCGTCGTCGTATTTGACATATTATTATTGGTTGAAAATGATGTATCTGATGTTAATGCTGCTGCTGCTGCTGATGATGATGATGATGATGATGTGGTTGCGATTGAAAGACTAGTGGGTGTTGTAGTAGGAGTGCTTGTAGCATTATTACTACTGTTGTTGTTGGTGATCATCATGATCATTTTTATTATTATTAAATAATATATATATTAATGATGAGAAATTTTTTTATTTTGTTTTACGTTGTTTCGGCTTTTTAGTTCGTTTCCTTAATTTTAGTGAATGAAAATGAAAATTGTAAATGGACGTCGAACCGAATAAAAAATTATGTGGGCGTTTGTGTGTGTGTGTGTGTGTGATGAGGCCAATGACGTCAAACACAAAACAAATGCAAAGATATTAGATGTTGATGATAATGATGATGACATAAAAGGTTTTTTTTAGGTTCAAAATTAAAAATGAACAGAAATGTGGATGGATTGATGAAAAGGACACAAAGAAAAAAAAGGATTCTGTTTTGGCAATGAAAGAATTATCAAATTTCTAGTGTGTGTGTGTGTGGAAGGCCGTCAACATTTAAACAATAATGACTGCCATTGACACCATGACAGTTTTTTTTTGTTTCGTTTACACAAATTAAAATTCTGTTGTTTTATATACTCTATATAGAGTGTGGATTTAATTTGGCACCAAAAAAAATCACAATGATTGCCACACATATATCAACACAAACTAATGGCCAATCAAACAAAAAAAAGCATTAGGTAGCGGAGTTTTTTTTTTATTTGTTCTGTTCTATTCTTCTTCAACACCAATGAACCATAATAATGACGAGTAAAAATGATTCGATGATGATGATGATGATGATGGAATATAAGAAAACACAAAACAACAAAAGCGGCTGCTACTATTGTGAAAACAGAAAAATGTCACGACATTTATGTTGAAATGATGATGATCATGATGATAAAAGCATGAAAATCACAATTTTTTGTTGTTGTTTTCTATTTTTTTTCTTAAAAAAATTCACTGATTTTTATATGTTTGATATTGACATTGTAACCAAACAAAACAGGCCAGATTATTTTGGTACTTTTAACACAAAAAAAAATTGAAAGCCAATAAATTTTCCAATAATCAATAATCATTCGATTCATTCATTGATTAATGAAGAAATTTTATATATTTCGATTAAAAAAAGGACGAAAAACATGACTTTTTTTTGTTATCATCATTATATTCGATTGATGTAGTGATGATTTGATTCCTATTCATGTACAAAGGATGATGATGAAAATAATCATTTTGCCAAAACGAAATGTACAAAACTTATACATACCTTATATTGATTGTAAATGGACAGGTGGTGCGTGTGCGTATCAAAAACAAAATCAATGTTCAATATGAAAACCTAGAATACAAAAAAAAATGAGAAAAAAATTAATTTCAACAAAAATATTGCGAAATAATAAACGAGTGTGAAACAAACAAACAAAAAAAAGTAAAAGTCACTGTCTAATTGTTCTTGAATCTAATCGATTTTCAATTTTCTCGATTCCATCTTAAATTGAATCATCATCATGAAAATGCGACCGTTTGTTTATTCTGGCCACCACAGACAGTCATCATTAGCTACATTTTGATCAAGCAAAAAAAAAAGATAGAATCACAAACATGACGCCAAAAACACATGCAGGTGTTGATATTCTCAGGCAAACAAAACAAAACGAAAAAGTTTTGCAAATGAAAATGTAATTCGTACAAACGAAAGCTGTATAAACATTGATCTCATTTCATTCGATTCGATCAGCATCAAGAATTGACATTTTGAAAATAATAAAAAAAAATATATAGCTAGCTGTTAAAAAATCTTTTTTTTCTGGTTTTCTGGTGCACTAAAATGTCCTTAATTAATGACAATATCAAATGAAATGAAATGAATGAATTAATCCCAGTATATATAATTCGATTGATTGATTGATTTTTATCCAATCTCTCTAGTGGTTAGTATTACCAGATTCTTTCTACGTCTATTCCAAGGTAAATGTACAAAATATTTTCATTTTAACTACGTAATAATAATGATGATTATTACGGGTAACGGTACAATTTTTTTCCATTATTCTCTTTGGTAAACACACAAAACAACCGTCTTCGAAGCATGTCATTGTCATACTTGAAAACCAAAAAAAAAAAAAAAAATCTTTCATTGTCATCATCATCTATTGTCGATTCAAGTGAATTTGTATTATTTGAAAAATAGAATCATAAGGACAACAAAACGAAAAAAAAAAAAAAATTTTCCTGACTCAGGATGATTCAGTCACAATGTCAACATCATCATCATCATTTACTGTAGAGATTTTAATTTTGAAAAAAAATTCATTTTTCAAATCAAAAAAAAAAAAAAAAAAAAAAAAAATGACAAAATTTGACGGAACAAAAAAAAAAAAAAACATCATCGTCATCCTCATCAACAACATCAACAACATGATTTATCACTGCAGATTTGAATCATTTGAAAATGTTTGTCAAATCAAGATGCATGATGATAAAATTAAACTTGGACTTTGATGTGTAAATCATCATCATCATCTTAAGCAAAGCTCAACTTGATTCTTTGAGATTCATCATCAAATACACTTTTGTATTCAATCTGGTATATCTATCGGCTACACACAAACACCTGTTCAAAAGGTAGAAGCAAAATCAGATGAGAATTAGAATTAATCATCACATCAAACAAGGTCAAATAGAGAGAAACTACTCAAAATCTTGAATAGAATCCAAAAAAAAAAAAAATGTCCAAACGAAAAACACAAAATTGCTTTTAATGCACCAGAAACCTTAAACCGAACACGATATTTTGTTTTTGTTCCAGTTGTTGTTGTGGTAGGAGGAAAAAATCGTTGACAAATACAACAACAACAACAAGGACGACGACGTCATAGTCAATCGGGAATGATCGATTCAATATATCGATGATTGATGTCTTCATCATCATCATCATCATAATGTAAATTTTATCATTTTTCCTATAATTGTCATCATTTATACAAACAGCTAATCAATCATTCTATAAAGAAAAAACAACACAAATTTAACCTTCTAAACACAACGAGATAAAATATAAATATTTAAAGTGATGATGATGATGATGATGATTTCAAGGAAAAATTCTAATAAGCATAACCTTGATAAACTTTGGTACCGGAATTTCTTCTTCGAGAAAAAAAGGATTCTCATCGTTTCATTTTCATTATATTATTGAATGGAATGGAATTTTTTTCTTCGATCCATTCAACGAAGAAAAAAAAAATTGCGGCTTCATCGGAATTTTCTCGAAAGAGAATCATTCCAAAACTAGAAAAAGAGAGAGAGAGAAAAAAAGCAATCATTCTCGAAATGAATGGGAAAGAAAAAAAATTCCTTTTTATCAATTTAGCCATTTAATAGATGCATTTGGATGCCACACCACTGCCAATACTCATAATCAATTTGTGGGTGCCAATTTTTTTTTCAGGGGCCCTTTCTTAAACAACAACAACAACAACACTACCACCCACTAGCATTATGATTATGGGCAAGAAGAAATAAGTGGTGAAACAAAAAATGGACCAATATTTTTCGATTATTGTTGCACCGTAAAAAAATATATATTCCAAATGAAAGAATCAATTTATATGTTTTTTTTTACAACAACAACAACAACAAAGATTCGATCACTTGATAACGGTACAAGAACCACAACAACAACTGTTCTGTTTTTTCCAGAGCAATTATTATTTTTTTTTTTTTTTTTGGATAGCAATTATTTTCTTTTCCAACTTGATCAACTATTTTTGAATCGAAAATTATTTGGCCTTGGTATTTTTTGTACACACATACACAGGATTTATCTGATGATTTGTACACACGTATGTAAGTTGTGAATCTAATGTTGTAATCAATAACAACGACGACGACAACAACAACAACAACAAAAACTTCAATTCAGTTATATTCACATAGATTTCTGTCTATATTCTTGTACATTTTTGTTATTTTTTTTAAGCCAATTTATCCCGAAAATAAAAAAGTACAGAAAATAGAAAATTTTCTGGAATTTGTAGGCTGCGTTTTGATTTGAATTTGTTCGGAAATTGAAGATAAAACAAACAAACAACGTATATAGTATAGTATAGTTATTATTGAAAACATAAAAAAAATTCTCTAAAGGTTAAAATTCTTTGGAAAATGAATTGTTTCAATTTCAATAATAACAACAACAACAACAAATGTGCATATACGACGAATAATGATGATTGTAATGACATGAATGTCAAAATTCAATGTCAAAAGCTTATTGCTATCATCATCAAATGGATAAATTGATTACAAAGAGACAACAAAAAAAAAATTTACCTTTTTTACACCATTGTCAAATGCATGTTTTTCGTTGTCGTTGAAAACATTCAAATGGGAAAAAAAATAAACTATCCACAGAATAGAATAGTAAAACGCACAGACAAACAAACAAACAGAAAAAAAATATGAAACAAACAAATTGATGATGATGATCGTGAATGTTTTTGCAATTTCGAATGTTAGAATGAAAATGAAAATCAAATAAAAAACGATAACACTTTTTTTTCACTTTGTATACATTACACTGAAAAAAAGTCACGTCAATGTTGTTGTTGTTGTTGATGATGATGATGAAACATACATTTCATTTCACATTTTCAAAGCACACTCAAACACACACACATACACAATAGCATCACTTGTTGTCTAATAATATTATTAGATGGATAAGATTTTTTTTTTGATTGATTGATTGATCGAATTGATTGATCGAATTGATTTATGGATTTATGAATAATAATGATCATCAAGATGCTGAAAAGAGTTCAAAGTTTAATTCGAATTCAAATGGAAAATATTTTTTTTTATGTTTTTTTTAGTTAGAATACAATTTTTCGTTTACTCACTCTTTTGAAAAATTGGAACAAAGAATTGAAAATTGGAAAATCATAAAAAAAATATATACACTATATGCCACAAGAAATCAAATTCAAAATGATTAAACCTAATCATCATCATCATCATCATCTATATGGGATATAAAATTGGCTAGATCCTTGTTGTTGTTGTTGTTGTTGCCACCATCAACGACAAAGATGATGATGATGATGACGATGATGTTTAGCTGATCCGATTGATGATCGTTGTTGTTGTTGTTGTTCCGTTTGTACTTTATTTATTTTATTATTTATGGTTGAAATTCGACGCAAATGCAGAAAAATTTTTTTCCATTGAAAGAGTGTTAAAAAAAACAAACTATGAAAGAAGAAACTGGAAACAGAGTACAACACACACACACAAAAAAACATGAAAATGATAGCACGAGTAAAAAAAAGAAGAAATCTTAGTCATGGTATGGGCAGCAGCAAAAACAAAAACAGAAAAAGAGAAAAAACAAGATAATCATCATCCGCTGATAGATCGATCGATGCTGCTCTCACCCAATTCATGCTGTTATGCTTAATTTTTTTTCAACGCATGCGTTTCATGGCAATAACAGCTGTAATTTTTGTTTCCATTCATAAACAACAGTACAAAATTAGCACGTGTTTAATTTTTAAAAATTTTTGAAATTTTTTTTCCATATCGTTTAAAATAATGAAATTTATTGCATTATTAAGTGGTGGAAAAGATTCCTGTTATGCAATGCATTTAATTGCATCCAATGAAGACAATGAATTGGTCGCCATTGCCAATTTAAAACCATCGGAATCTGGCAAAGAAATCGATTCATATATGTATCAGACTGTTGGTCAGGATGTTTTAGAGCTGCAAGCAAAAGCTTTGAATGTTCCACTGTATCAACGAGTGATTCGTGGTAAACCAGTAAATCAAGCAATGGAATATAATTCACCCGTTGTGGGTGATGAAGTTGAAGATCTTTATGAATTACTATCCGATATTCGTCATGATATTGAATTTGATGCCGTTTCATGTGGTGCAATTCATTCCAATTATCAACGATTAAGAGCTGAAAATGTTTGTTCAAGATTAGACATTCAACTTTTATCACCACTTTGGGGACGTGATCAAACTGAATTACTACGGGAAATGATCGATTCTGGTATTGAAGCTATTTTGATAAAAACTGCCGCTTTAGGTTTGAATCCATGTCAATATTTAGGACGAAAAATTGATCATAATTTATATGAAAAATTGGTTCAATTAAATCAGAAATATCAACTTAATGTTTGTGGTGAAGGTGGTGAATATGAATCAATGACCATTGGATGTCCAATGTTTAAAAATAAAAAAATCATCATCGATGAATATCACGTTGTCGATGATGGCCATGATGATCAAATAGCATCTGTATCATATTTAAAACCAATTCGAATGCATTTGGAATAATAATAAAATGTTTTAATTTTTTTTCAATTCAAATCTCGTAATTGTCTAATCATTCTTTCAGAAAAATATTTAGGTGCAATTTTTCTAAACAATTGGGGCATATATTGTGATACATAATGTGTCAGCAAAATTGGATGTCTAGCGATCCAGGCTTGATCTATTTTATTTGCTAATGCACAGGCCATCAAATAGGCACAACGATCGGTGGTCATACGATTACTTGTACGTGGTTGAATTTGCCGAGCGATTTCACCAGGTTTACCCGTAAATGCATTATAAAGAATATTGGAAAATGTTGGTCCAACACAAAACAATGTTATTCCAATACCTTTACGACCTAATTCATTGCGTAAACTTTCAAAATATCCCTTGAAAAATGGTGATGAAAGGATTAAAATATCAAACAAATCAATGAATGAAACTTACATGCAGAGCATGTTTAGATGCCGCATATGATGATACAAATGGTGAACCAATAATACCAGCAGTACTACTAGTTACACCAAATTGACCATTAGGATTATGTTCAAGAAAATATTTCAGAACAATTCTTGTTAAATTGATTAAACCAAATACATTCACTTCGAATAATTGATGATCGATTTCGGAATCAATTTCTGCAAACCAAGCACGTTGTGCACGTCCAGCATTATTGACTAAAATATCCAACTTGAACAAAAGCCAAAGCGTTCAGTTTTATCATTTACCAACAATCAAACACTTACTCGATTGAAATGGTGTAAAACTTTGTCAAACATTTTCTGATGACATTGACGATCGATAATATCAAATGACAAGACCATTACGTTGGTTTCGTCATAATTACCGATGGCTAAAAGAGATTATTCGTTAACTTTATCAATTCATCAACAATACTCACAAACACATTGTGCGGCCACTTCTTTCAATTTTGATTCATTTCTACCAGACAGAATTAATTTAGCACCAGTAGTAGCTAGAACATATGCTAAATGTTCACCAATACCGGATGATGCACCGGTTATCCAGATCACCTTTCCTTTAAATGTACCTAAATAACAATAACAACAACAACAATAAATTGAAATTTAACATTAACATTAAATTCAACTAACTAATTGATTTTCCGAATTTCAATGCCCACAAAATTTCAAGATCATGATCAAGTTGAGAAAATTGCCATAAAAAATAGACAAAAACAAATAGAAAAACAATTAAAAATAACATCTTGTCATTTATTTTGCAGTAAACAAATTGAATAATGAAAGCAAAAACGATGTTTATGAATGTTTATAATAATAAATTTTGATTCAAATAATCTTGAGATGTTATTATCATCAAATAAAAAATTTATTTTCCACGATTTATATCAATAAATCAACAATTTAACCATCACGAAATTCTTGACTTCTTTTTTCATTGAAAAAGAATGGAAAAACTTTACGAAAAATTTGTGGAAAATAAACGGCCAAATAATGAATAGTAAGTACCGGCTGTAACGAGATCCATGATTGATCGATTCGATTGGCCAATGCTACAGCCATCAGATATCCACAACGTTCACTTGATAATTTTCGGCTACTTTGGACTGGTTGTTTACCGCCGACAACTTTTCCAGTTTCACCAGTGAATGCTTTTTCCAATAGATTCGAAAACACTGGACCAACACAAAACATTGTAATCGAGATTGTTCGACGACCAAGTTCAGTTCGAAGACATTCAAAATATCCATGTAAAGCATGTTTCGAACCTGTATAGGAAGCTGAAAACGGTACACCAAGAAGACCAGCCGTACTGCTTGTCACACCAAATTGACCATCAATATTTTGTTCAAAAAAATAACGTAGCACAACTCTAGTCAAATTGACCAGGCCAAAAACATTGATATCGAACAATTGTTTATCAACTTCAGGTTCAATTTGAATGAACGATGCTCTCTGACTACGTCCAGCATTATTGATCAGAATGTCCAACTATAGGTGATTTTCAACCAGATAAAAAAAATGACAATTGATTGTCCCATCATCATCAAGAATAATTTTACCTTATTAAAATGTTGTAAAACTTTATCAAGCATCTTCTGGTGACATTCCGAATCCGTAATGTTGAATGGCAACACCAATACATTTTTGGAATCATATTTTCCAATTGCTGAAAATGAAAATCAAATTAATGAAGAAAGGAAACAATACTAAATCTAATCTACCACTTACAAACACAACGTTTGGCAACATCTTGAAGTTTTGATTCATTCGTTGCTGATAATACCAATTTACAACCAACCGAGGCTAGAACATAGGCTAGACCTTCACCGATTCCTGATGAAGCACCAGTTATCCATATAGTTTTACCTTGTAATGTATCTGGCAAACAAACAAACAGACAAAATAAAATGTCGATAAAATCAGAAGAAAAGAAAAATAAATTCAAAAATACCGATTGATCGTCCAAATTTCAGGGCAATATATGTTTCAAGATCACAATCTAAATGGTACCACCACCAGATAAATAAACCAAAAACCGGTAATAATAATAAGATGAGCATTTCGCTTGTTGTTTATCTTGTTGCCACACTAAAAATAATCTAGTAACATGAGTAGTACGTACCCAAGCGACACTTTGCGACGGCTCTGTTCGTTGTTATCATCGGCATTTAACATGACGTGATTATTGAAAAGAAAAAACAAACGCCACACTTCGAGGAAATAATTTACCACAATAAAATGTCATGAAATTGGTTATGTGTAATTGACCCTTTTCTTTTCATAATTTTTTTCTCTTTGAATGATCAGTAAATTCTTCCAATGGAGAGACAAAGCGATTACCTAAAATAATGATGGAAAAACTTTATTTATCTCTATCTATCTACATATATCTCGGTTGGAGAAAGTTATAATCTAGGCCATTGTAGATTGTTTTCTGTGTCAACAGTGGAAAATTTTAGGACAACCAAACATTAAATCAGATCATTTTTCTGACGATGATGATGATGATGATGAATTTCCATTTATAATAATGTGTTTTGACCACTCTCTTTTCTTAGAATATAATATAAATAATAATGAAGAAAAATCTCTTTGTTCAAATCTAAATTTGAATTTGAGTTTTCTATTTTTTTTCCACTTTCTCATCTCGGTCAACGAAATACTTTTGCGAAAAAAAATAAATTTCGTTCTTTATATATCTCAAAACAGGTCAAAGTCAAATTCAATAAAAATTCGGCTCTCAATTTGGATCACTAGGACATTTACAGGTGAATAAATGGATCATCACATCATATACACTTTTTGTTGAATTAGATCAATGTCGATCTGGAAAATTTTGATCCAAATTTATTTTGTTTGAATCTTTCTCTATTTCACTTTCATTTTTTTTTGAATTATGTAATTGTTTTGTTTGTTTGTTTCCAATTGTCATTTGTCATGAAAAAGAGAAACGAAATAAAAAAAACTTGTAGAATTTCCTTGAAAAAATTTTTGTTAGGGCGTCATCAATCGTCGATTGAAAGAGCAGATGTGAGCAACTCACAAACAACAACAACAACAACAAAAAAATCTCTATATCCATCTCATCATGTCATCGTTTGTTTACAACATTATCATTTGTTTGAAATTGAAATTCTTCCTGATGCAATTATTTGCCAAATTTTCCCGGTTACCTTGAAATTTTTCACAAATAAAATCATCTATCATTCATTCATCTATCTATCTACAGAGATTCTATCTTTTATGAAATTTACCAATTTTTGTTTGTTTTAATTAAAATGCATCTTGATTATCCGGTAAGTCGAAAAAACTTGATTCATTTAAATGAAGATAATCATTTCTATCGATATAGAACGTGCCTTATTGTGGTCCGACCAGTGCTCAACTTCAACCTGGTGCAATCATACGAGCCAAAGGTCATTCTCAACCTGGATCAGATTAGTAAATGAAAATTTGTTTTTTGTCTCAATTTACTGTAATAACAATTGTTTTCTATTTCTCAGTATGGCTATATCTTTGCAATGTGGCCCTTCGACAAATTTCAGTGATGATGTTGCTTTGTATTTAAGTTTGGCTTTTAATCCACCACCACGTGTTATTCGAAATTCTTTAATCGCAGGTCAATGGGGTCCAGAAGAAAGTTTTGGCGGTTTTCCCACCGCACCTGGTGCGCCATTCGAAATAATGATAATGGTTGAACCATCTGAATATCGAATAGCTATAAATGGACAGCATTTTACTGAATACAGACATCGTATACCATTCGAACGTATCACTCACGTCTCGTTGACCGGTGATGCACGAATCGATTCATTTTCAATCTGGTACAGTCAATCTGGTCCTTCCGGTCCTGGTCTATATCCAAACATACCTTCAGAATTGGGCGCTCCACCACCGTATATTTCTAATCCGGGATTTAATTCTAACATTGGTGGACTTCCTCCTTATCCTGCACAAGATCATCATATTCCATATTCAACGAGCACAACACCTTATCCACCACTACAACCAGATCAATACGGTCCTGGGCCTGCTTATGCACCTCAACCTCCGATGCCAGGAAATCCTCAAGCTCCTTATTATCCCAATCAACCTTATCCTACTGGTAGTGGCACATATCCACCACCACCAACCCCCTCGCATGATCAAAAATCCCCGAGCAAAAGTGGTGGAATAGGCAATATGTTAGGTGGTGCTTTAACAGGTGTAGCTGGAGGTATAGCTGCCAATGCTATCGGAAAAAAAATATTTGGAAAACATCATCATTCAATGGTACCAGGAATTGCTTCGGGTGTAGCAGGAAATATTCTAAGTGGTGGTGGTGGTGGTCATCATGGACATCATAAACATAAACATAAGAAATCAAGTGCAATTCCTATTGCTGGAATAGCAGCAGGAGCAGGTGCTGCAGCATTAGGAGCTACATTATTAGGAAAAGCATTCAAGCACAAACATAAAGGATCCTGGTCACATAAAGGTTGGGGCGGTCATCGTGGATCATCATCAAGTTCAAGTTCTGAAGAAGAATAATAATGATTTCCATTGTGATAACTTTTTCATTCTGTATTGATTGTATTACTTAATAAAGTTTTTATTTCTATCATCTCATGTTGGTGGTGAAAATAATGGCGGTGAATTATTATTGGATCTAGTTTCATCTTCTGGATCAATTGTAAGCATAGCACGTTCAATAGTTTGTCGTATTTGTCTTTCCATTCGTTGTCGTCGTACATTGCCACGTGGTTTATATCGTAACCGTACGATAATATACATCATTATTAGAATGTAAAGAATCATAAACATTGCAATACTATTGGCTAAAAGATTTGCTTGTGAACGTAGTTTAGTAGCAGCATTCAATTCAATCGATGATGAATTATTTATCATCATTAATGATTCTATTTCAGATGATTCCAATGTAGTAGAATTTTTTGTCACTATATTTGTCATTGATAATAGTTGATTCAAACCCAATAAACAAGTAGTTCCGGCAATAATTAACGTAGCAATGCCAAATAAACGAACCGCAAATACCATATCCGTACGTTGACGTTCATTTAGATCTTGATTATTATCATAAACATAAATTATATATGAAATATAGAAACAAATCATCAACCATGTTAATATGCCAAACCATGAATGCATTGATTGTAGATGGGGATAGTTCATTTTAAAATGCCAATAGATTGTAATGCCTGATCCAATAAAACCGATTAAAAATGTCATTACAATCAGAAATAGCCGTGCATTGGTGAGTTTTTTTGATGAATTTATAAATAATATGGCTAGAATATATAATAATAAACTGAATTAGAATTTATGAAAATTTGAGCAATCACAATTTTACAACTTACAATTGGCCAATGTAAAAATCATACTAAATGTCATAATCAATGGATGAAAATTGATAATTCTATCGACATAATTATAACCATCACCATCATTATCATTTGGAATCAAACTAAATCCACCAAAATATTCAATCAGCCAACAAGCCAATAAACTTAGGATGATCAATGCAAAAAATTGTGCAAGAAAATATAAAAGACAATTCAATCCATCGGTGGCATCAACATGATTATTATTTTCTTGGTTGATTTTGGCACGAATTTTAATTTTTTCAATTGGTGTTGAACGTATCATTTGCCGTCGTGATGGTGAGGCTGATTTTTTTCTTTTTCTTTTTCGAGAACTATTTAGATCCAATGATGATTTGATTGGCGGTTCAGTTGTAGTATCCGTTACGGTGACAATAGCCTCATTATCATCCTCCTGTGCTGGTGATGATGGTGATGGTGGTGGTGGTGATGATGATGGAGGAGAATTTGGCGGTGACATTTGTCCGGGTTTATCACAGATCAAAAAACAGCTGTTGAAACTTATTGTTTTTTGTTTGTTTGTTTGTTTGATGGTGTTGAAACTCAAACAAAGAAAAATGATGAAATGAATTCATTCTCGACAAAGCATTTTTTTAATGTTTCGAGATTAAAAATAATTGGATTATCAATTGGAAAAAAATTCGCGAATTCGGATGTAAAGAATGGAAAAATTTCAATCGATAAATATCGAATTACTTGTTTGTAAATTGGTCATAAAGTTTTATTCCTATGTCAATTTATTTGTATTTGATTCGCCGTAATTGCTCTACAAATTTTATCCAATTTATTTAATCGATATTTGACATCGTTTTATCAATTATTGATAAGAAAAATATCGAAAAATAAGAATAAAAAGAATTCTTCGAATAATATGGATTCAAACAATATGAGGAAAACATTAGAAATGGATGTTGAACACGAACTATCGTCGTCGATACATAAAAAGGAATCGATAATAAAAATTCCAATAATAACACCATTATCATCATCATCATCATCATCAGCATCGAAAATGTCTGAAACGTTTGATGAACCGACGACTATACGAAGTTTAACCAGCGATACTTGTGAGATAAAAACTTCAACAACACAACAACAACAACAACAACCTGTTGCAAAAGTAGCAACAAAGTTTAAAATAAAATATAAATCATTACCACGAACGACAACAATAACAACAACAAAGCAATTGGAACCATTGTTATCATCAAAACTTGGATTTGGTATTCCACGATCAAATTCTATTTCATTTGAAAAAACAAGTGATGAAACAGAATCCAAGTCGATAGCGGAAACTTTATCAATAACATTGAAACCAGAAAATACCATCAACAATAATAAAACCATTCAAGTAAAATCAAAACAAACTTTTCCAGAACAAGAAATGATAAAATTTGAACGTAAACCACCACCACCTCCTCCGCTGGCCATAATCAAAGCAGCTCCAGTTGTTTTGACGAAAAAATCTCCACTTCGACCACCACCACCACCACCACCATCACCATCAATTTCTAGTAAAAGTGGTGGTGGTGAAAAAAGTTCAATTATTCGTCGTGTTTCATCAAAATCTAAACGAAAATCACTCAGTTCATCACTGAAACCAAAACGACAATCATCAGGAGAAAGAAGATTATTGAAAACATCATCAGCATCTAAAAAAAGTTTAAAAAATTCATCAATAAAAATTAATAATAACACAGTAGTACCCACTACTGCTACTATACAGCAACGGCCCAAAAGTAGTAGTACTAATAAACCACGTTCTAAACCAAGTTTAAAATCAAAATCTAAAAGTATCAAACGTCTTACACATTCGATGAAAAATATGAATGAATCATTGAAAAGTGTTTCTATTAAACGAACAAATAGTAGACGATCGTCATTGAAGAAACAAAATTTAAATTTGAATAATGACAAAACTACTGCAGCAGCACCACCGATGATGATGGTGGTGAAAGAGCAACAATCTGGCCCGAAACCTGCACTTCCTCCTCCTATTATGAGTGTGGAAAAAGAAGAATTAATAATCGTACGACAACCATCAAAATTATCACCAACAACATCTCCATTATTATTGGAAAAATCATCAATTACTGAAACAATGAAATCTGATCCAACAGCAGCACAAACATTTACAACCAACGATGATGATAGCACCACTGCTAGATCATCAACTAGTCATAATGATCGTGTTACAGTCATAAGAGAAGTGCATAAAAATATTTCCGGTGAACCAGTAGTGGAAAAAGTTAAAGCAAAAATTGTCACATCAACTGGATCAAAATTATCCGATAACATTGCCATTGAGAAAGAATCTTTGATTCATAATTGTATCATTTATATTCTTTCGCAAATATTAGCTTCCATTCTTCTGGTACTGTTTTGTTCATTGATCATTCAACATTTTGGTGGCTTCCCATACGAAATCCTCGAACATTCATTGAATTATCATCCACTATTTATGTTTATCGGTCTAATTTTATTTTTAGCCAATTGTAAGTAGAATATTCATCCTTCTTTTTTTCTCATCATTATTAATTAACTAAACTTTTACTTGTTGATTCTTTAGCATTAGTAATGGTTACATCCAGGCAATTAACCAATATATGTCGATTACCATTATTAATTGGAACGTTAGTATTGCAATTAACTGGAACTTTTATCACGATTTATTGGCACGCTAAAAAGGAAAAGTCACATATGCAATCAATGCATTCTTGGTTTGGTTTAATGACGATTATTTTATTTCTTACATATTTGGCTGGTAATATCTATCTTTATAGTAGACATGAACCAAAAAAAGAAAATGAACGACAAAAATTTCTGAATAGAATCAGTAAATCAATATTCTATGTTCGTATGATTGGTCTTGGTTGTTTAGTTATGGCATCGATCACATGTCTGTTGGGTCTGAATCAATTTGAAGATATTTTCAATGGTATACCATCGGATTTGGAACATAGTACAACAGGCAATCCATCATCACCAAGATTATTGACAAATATTGCTTCAATATTTTTAATCATTTATGTTGGTTTCATGGCCTATTTAATCGCACGACAACGTTATCGATCATCGGAAACTATTGAATTTGAAAAACAAGTACAAATGGCCGTTGATAATGCAATGCAACAAATGGATGCTAGCGGTGTATTTAATAATCCAGATGAAAGATCACGATTATCATTAAAAAGTGATGATGATGTTCGTAGTCTAAGTCCAGAAAAAAATAATCGTCATCGTCATCATCGTCGTCGTCGTCGTCGAAGTCGAAGTGATGTGCAAGATTCACTTAAATCACCTAGGATTTCTGTTTGTGAAAATACACAAAAATATTCGACATCATCTTCATTGTTAAAATCGATTACAATCACTTAGTAGTCAAGTTACTAAACAAAATAATCTTCATAGACTAGACGTACATTGTTTTTTTCTGTAGAATTAGTAGTCTCTCTTACAAATTTACAACAACAACAACAACAAAAATATTAAAAACACAACAAATTTTTATTTTTGTCGATTCACATTTCGTTAATTAATTTCAAATAGAACAAATGGTATAAATAATAAAATCCTTAATTAATTAATATATCATCGAGGTTGTAATAATGAATATTTTGATGATTGAACATTGATCATGGATGAATTGTTGATGATCGCAGATGATGATGATGAAACAGATGAAAGATTTGTTGGTGTTGGTGGTTCTTTTATAGTCATTGTTGATGATGATGACGATGATGCCGATGTTGAACGAAGAAAAGGATTCTGTCATAATGGAAAAAGTTTAATTCGATTCCACGTACGTAATTGGCAAACAAACAACATACCAGATCATTGCCAAGAGCTAAACTTAATGGATTATTTACATCAGCGAATAACCAATATGGATCGGCGGTTAAATTCATATCGTTTGGGCTGAATAGGTCAGAAGCTGTTGTAAATGCTCCAGGATCGGGTTTGATTATTGGGCAAATATTAGCGTTGTTGTTGTTGTTGCTGCTGTTGCTGTTCGAACCAATAAATGATGATCTGAAAAATTTGAATAAAATTTCAAAATAAAAAAAAGGAGGAAAGGAAGAAACAAAACACAAACAGTCGATTATTTCGATTATAACTATCGATAGTATTGGTTTGGATTTAATTGGAATTTTAAAGCGAATTATTATTGTGTAAATACAAAATTTTTTTTTTTAAAAGGGTGATATACATTAATAAATAAAAAATCCATTTTTTTTTGTTTAGTAAAAGTTAAGAACAACAAAAATAACACAAAATCTTTATTGTTTTTTTCATTTTTTTTTGTTTGAAACATTATTTTACGTACGTCAAATTGCTATTAGTGGAAAAATTTGCAGCCGCCGAAGATGATGGCGACAACGGCGACGGATGATGTATATTAATAAATGGATTACCAGAGATAGTATTGCCATTTGTATCATCAAAATTAGAATGATGATGATGATGATGATGTTCTATGAATGGATTATGATGATGGTGACCAGCGCCGTTATTATTGTAATGATGATGGCCATTAGTTGTAGTTGCTGTTGAACTATTACTATTGGTGGTTACTGTGCTCGATGTTTGTGTCAAATAATGACTCAACAATGGTGCATTGTTGTTAGTAGATACTGATTGTGAACATTGAAATTGCTGCTGCTGCTGTTGAGCTGCTATAAAATTCTTGATTCGTGGATTAAGGCTTTGGGGGGCATAATTCGAATGGTTTCCACCATTTGTATTTTGAAAATTTAAATAACAATTATTCGTTCCATCATTATGATTAATAATTGGTGGTTTCTGCTGCTGTGTTGTTGATAATGAATTTGGAACATGGTGATGATTAACAATTGCATTTGGATGATGCATAGGAGCACGAATACATAAATCAACTGCTGGCATTCCAAGTTTTGGTTGATTAGTTCTTTGTTGTTGTTGCATGTTACCGCCATTCATATGATGACCATGTTGATTTTGAATTCCATTATTGTATGATCTTTGTTGTTGCTTAAATTGAGCATATTGTAATGATGCTTTACATCGATAATAATTTGTTGTTGAATTTCCCAATGATGATGATGATGATGATAATGATGAAGAAGCAGCATCGACATTTGGATTTGAATTGGAATTTGTATCATAGTTTGAAGAAGCTGTTGTAGGTGTCGGATACAAAGGATTTTCTAATCTTGTTTCTTGATTCTGTTGTTGTGGTGAATATTGATGATTAGCAATACTATTACTATCGTAGCTATTACTGTTAGCATTTTGTTGTGAATTTGAATGATTCGTCAAAGTAGCTTGATGATGATGTTGACCGCTATTATAATTTGGATTTGTCATTTTATCAAGCCCATCAGCTGTTGTTGTTGTTGTCGTCGTAGAATTTCCACCATGAGATTTTGTATTGTTGGTCTGATTACTACTGCTGCTACTATTATTGCCACCTCCAGATGATGATGAATGATTGGAAAATCTTGATTTACGATTATGAGCTTTATTGTTATTGTTATTAGCTGTATTGTTAATCTTTTCAAAAACAATCATACAATCATCATCTGAATCGTCACCAGCATCATCCATTTTAAATTCATTATCATTCGATGAAATGGAATCAACACGTGGATAGTTTGAATCTAGAAAAATAATTTTTAAAATGAAAAAAAAAATTTTCAACTTTAAAAACAAAAAAAAACTTACAATCAGTTTGTGAAATAATCGTAGCACTGCTACTTGCATCAGAATTATTATCCGAATTGTTATTCTTTTCACTATCAACACCATCATCATTATCATCATCTGAACTATCAATAGTGATCCATTCAATTGCAGGCTTTTTATTTGTACTGTCCGTTGTTGTTGACTTTGAATCCAATTTAGGTTTTTTATCTTCATGATTATTTGAACATAATGAAGAATCTGAACCATTTCGTTTAAGATTTGAAGAAGATGAATCTTTTTGTGATTCTAGAGAAAAAAATAATAATAATGAATCAGTGTTGCAAAAACATTTATAACCATCTACCTTTACTGTTGATTTGAACACCATTTTTTAAGCATTCAAATGTACCATCAGGAAAAATTTGAGCTTCATTTGATTCCTGTGGCAAATTCTGTAGTATACGAGAGACTAGTCTGTAAAAAATCAACAGATTGATGTTTAGAAAAATGATAGGCGATAGATAAAATTAAATTCATCACAAACATACCCATCGATAATTAAATCATCAAATTTAATATAAATCTTACATATAGGACATTTCCATCTAGGTGTAATATCATTAATCGAAATGAAAGCTTCGCCATCAAAACAATGGACATGATCACAATGTTTAGAACGTGATGGTATCTTCAATCGTAATGAGGTAAGCTGTGAAATTGAAAACAAATATTTGATAAAAATCAATCAAAAAAACAAAATATTCATACCGGACATAAAAGTGAAACTTTCATAACATTATCGCAGATAACATCGTCATCATCGCTATGCAATTTCTTTTTAACTAAATTCCATAATTAAAGTGAAAATTAAAATCGTTATGATTCAAACAAACAAAACATGATTGTATACAAACCTAAATCAATCGATAATTTCGTATCATATGGACCTTTATCTTTTAATAATTTGAGTAAATTTTTATGATCGATTTTTCTCATCAGGAAAACACCATAATAATAATTGTCAGAAAAATCATTCTGATCAGAAATAGTGGCTCTGATGAAAATTTCATTTTTTTCCGATGCTATCCTTTGCGTTATATCATATGGTGCAAATGTATATTTATTTTTTATCTAGAGACGGAGAAAAAATTGTTTAAAAAATTTGCACATATTTTATTATTTTTTTAAAATAAAATGAAAACATACCGTAAAAGTGCAATCATTGATTGTTAAATTAAAAGATTTTGGCAAACAATCCATTTGTTCACAAGTACTGGTAGAGTATTTACAGAAACGAAGAAATACTTTAAATTGATCACCCAATGGTAATGTTGATACCAATGTTGAACGAAACGAATATCGATGTGATTCGCCTAATTTATCTAATAATGGACAATATTCATGTGTTACAAGAATTTATGATGAATTTTACAACTTACTTATATATTGAGGTTTTATTAAGGTTCGAAGTTCTTCATATGAATTAAGCTTTATAAATTTTACAAAACTAGGTTGAATAATGTATTTATCGAATGCTATTGATGGCAATGTCATTATGGAATTATTATTATTAGTATTAGTATTATCACCACCACCAACAGCACCAGTAATATCATCCAATAAAGGCATTGAATAAACTTTTGCACAATTTGATTGTTGCTGTTGTTGATATGAATTCAATGAAATCGATGATGATGATGGATTAGTTGTGTTGCTATTGTTTTCAAAATGACCAGACATACGATGTTGTAAGCCAAAAAATTCTTGATTTTGATATTGTTGTCCAGATACTGGTAAAGAATGATGATACGTTGATGATGAGGCGGTGTTGTTGGTGGCCGCACAAGAAGATGATGATGGACCTGTACCGACACCATTATGATTTCGTAATTGTGGATTCATAATTGATCCTGTAGTAATTTTACATGTACGGCTATTATTCGAAATAGATCTCGATGAACGAGTATTTGGCATGGTCGCATATGATGATGATGATAATGAATTTGTATGTTGTGGATGATGATGATGATGATGATGATTATAGACAATGTTATTACGTGAATTTCTCGTAGTAGGTAGATTATGTTGTTGTGAATTGTGATTTGATGATGATGATGTTGATGATGATGATGATGAACGTGGATTTCGTGGCATTTTTCTATTTCCTGGTTTTTTCTGTTATTTTATTAAGAAGAGAAAAAATTCTTAATTAAAAAGAATGAATGATTTGAGAACAGTAAATGTTCTCAAATCTTTGAGAAAAATTTGATTCAATTAATTCACAGGTTTTTTATGGTAAAATGAAATATGGAAAATTATCATTTTTGTTGGCAATTACGATTACGATGAAACATCATGCTTCAAACTTTCACAACAACAGACCAGTGTTTTTATTTTTTTTTTTGTTGTTTCTGTCTACCTCACTCTCTCCTCATTACTTTGCACGTATATGCAGAACTCATATATATAAGCTATATTTCTGAACATTTTTCTTTCATATATACACATATAAAAATTGAATGAGTTTTACATAAACTATCTCTGGATCGCTTTGAAAAATTCTGAAAAACTTTTTTTTTTACGTCATTTATGAATGAATCTTGAAATTTATTTGCACAATCAAATTTTTTTTTTCAATTTTTTCAATTTGATTAACAATTTTTGTTTTCTCTATTCAGGTTTAAATAATGTCAACAAAATTCTTCAATCATTTTGGCCGTGATATAATGTCCATTATTGGAATGATTCATGTTCGACCATTACCAGGCACTCCAGCTTGTAATAAACAATTTGACATTCAACAACTTGTGGATCATGCTTGCAATGATGCTTTGATATTTGTTCGTCAAGGTTTACATGGTATACTTGTTGAAAATATGTTTGATCGTCCATACATAAAACATGATGATGCTGGTCCAGAAATAACTGCGACTATGACTCGAGTATGTTCTGAAGTTCGTCGTGTTGTACCTGAACGAATTCCATGCGGTGTACAAATTCTAGCCGGATTAAACCATGAAGCATTGGCCGTTGCCATCGCTAGTCAATTTCAATTCATCAGGGTTGAAGGATTCGTATTTAGTCATGTTGCAGATGAAGGTCTTATGACAACAGCTTGTGCTGGTCCATTGCTGAGATATCGTCGTCAAATCGATGCCGAACATATTCTTGTGTTGACCGATATCAAAAAGAAACATTGTTCACATTCAATTACTGATGATTTAGATTTAACTGAAACAGCCAGAGCAGCAAGATTTTTTCTCACAGATGGTCTAATCATTACTGGTCGTGAAACTGGTGATCCACCAACACTAACTGATTTCGATCAAATTAATCAATCATTAATCGATGATCATGTACCATTGTTGATTGGTTCCGGTTTAACTGTAGAAAATTTATCCGGTTTTTTCAAAAATAAAAATATAGCAGCCGCAATTGTTGGTTCATATTTCAAACATAAAGGAAAATGGTTTAATTCATTATGCGAAGATAATGTCCAAACATTTATGCATAAATATAATCAACTCCTTCAGCAGCAACAATAAAAATAATCATAAAATCACACGCACCACACACACATCATCATCATCATTATCATTCACCACGACGAACACTTTTAAGGCTTATCGATGAACGTGAGGCAAGAATTTCATTTTCACGCAATGCAATCGGAAACCAATGATGTTCACAAATTTCACGTATTGATGGTCGTTTTTCTGGATCTGGTTCGAGCATTATTCGAATCAATTCTTTAATTTCATTCGATGATTTTTCCTCAATCTGATCCTGTAATTTATATTGACGTGTCATTTGACATTCATACATTTTTTGTCGATCATGACGATCAAATGGATAGATTTTATTGATCATGATGAATAACATGACACCAAGACACCAGATATCGCCCGAAAATGGATCATATGGAATTTGTTTCAATACTTCGGGTGGATTATATGATGTCGTACCACAATATGTGTCACTTTTCACCACCTGACCAGTATCAGATATTTTAACGAAACGGCTGAAACCAAAATCCGAAACCATTGGATTCCAGTAAGGATCAAGTAGAATATTGTCTAATTTTAAATCTCTAAAAATTGATGTTGAAAAAAATCATCCGCAAAAAAATGTTGCTGTAATTCATTTACCTATGTGCAATTTTGTGTTCATGCAAATATTTGATCGCTCTGGCCACTGGACAGAACCAAGCACGTGCTTTCCATTCACAAACTGGACCATGTGTTTTCACCCAACCACCAATTGTACCGTTGGACATGAAATCCATTATAATATAAATTTTACCTTTACTACGAAGCAATTCTTCTAATCGTACACAATTTGGATGTTTTACATTACGAATAATTTGCAATTCCCGTTTCAGATCATCATCCAGTCGTGGATTGTTTGGATCTTCAACATGTACCACTTTTATTGCATACAATTTACCTTGTTTTACTGATTTATAAACTTTTGCCTGGCCACCTTCATCGATACGAACGAATGATTCATAACCACGTCTCATCAATTCATCCATCGTTTTTTTTTTTTTATTCAAAAGAAAGAAAAAAAATTATCGAAACAAATTTATTTACTAAAATTTAAAATTTATACAAAAAATTTTAAAAAAAATCTAATAATAAAAATCAATAACAAATCAATTACAAACATTAACACATTCCACGGAAATAATTTTCGGTTCCTTTTTCAAGGCAACAACTAAATTTTCATTTTTCATGCATTCAAATTTTATTTCGTTAGCAACACACTAAAGCTTTTTCTATATAGTGGACAAACAAACCTTATCTATTGATTCACGCAGACGCCAGTCTTCATCATCATCTTCATGTCCCAAATGGAACGCTATGGCTATATGTACCGAAATGAGCGTCGAATCATCATTTTCTGATGAATCCAAGTGGCCATTTTGATGATGACGTAAATGTTTGATGATGATATTGAATCTTCTTGAATTGAGCTCTCATTCATTGTTGCAGTTTATAGTAGTGAATTGGTTGAATTTTGTTTTCAATATTTAATTTAGAAATTTTTTTTTAATTATTGTTTTTGTTCGATTAATATTGATTGGAAAAAAAGATGAAGAATTGTCTAGTTGTTAGTTTATTGTTATTAATTACATTCTTTGGCCAGAATAATAATATTCTATGTGGCCAATATTTCGGTATCAATGATTTGGAATATCGAATACCAAATTCATTGTTGAACAATTTTTACGGACGTATTGATGAGGATCAACAACAACAACAAATACATCCGCAACAACCATATGTGATTGTCAATCCAGTCGATTTTCAGGCAAAAGATTCGTATCCATTGTATCAATCTTCTGATTTCAATGTAAGTGTCATCGAGAAAGAGAGAAAAAAATGAAATTTTTCAAATTTTTTCCCAACAATTCTAATTATTCTAGAATTATCGAATTCGTAAAGATCTTAGTGAGCAACAACAACAACAACAATCCAATGAGCTATTGAACCGTTATCATTTGCAAACACGTGATGACATTCTTTTGCCAAGAGAACCGGTACCAAGAAAAGAATTTCTTGAACATTCATCATTATATGGACATCAATATGTACAAGGTGGTGCTGGTGAAGGATCACAACATTTGAAACCAGATGGTAGTATACAGAATGTACAGGTGATCAAATCAGATTCAGTATTGCCAGCCTATTGTAATCCACCAAATCCTTGCCCAGTAGGATATACAGGTTTGTATTGATTTGATATGAAAACGAATATGAAAAATTTTTGTTTTCAATTCATTTAGCTGAAGACGGATGTTTGGAAGATTTTGACAATTCAGCCGATTATAGTAAAGAATATCAAGCATCACAAGAATGTATGTGCGACTCGGAACATATGTTCAATTGTCCCGGTAATACTGATGAAAATGAATTGGAAACATTGGCCCGTTCAATTCAGAACGAAGGTATTGAATTGGATTCTACCATTGATAAAATCATGGATACAATGGACACAACGGCAAAAGATCATAAAGTTGTGGCAAAAAAATATTTTCAAAAACGAAGTAAAAAATCAATTGTAAAACGTTCGATTGATGAAATAAAAAACAATAATAAATCGGTAAGTCAAGAAAAAATCAATCAATCGAAATTTTCATTTTTTTGTTTCATTCAAAATTCATTTTTCCCACATACAGTTTAAACAAGAGAATCCATTTTTGGTAGGCGAAAAATTGCCCGTGGTGGCTAAAAAAAGTCCACAAACAGCTAAAATTCATCACTAAAAATCAATCAATCAGTTTCATTGATCGATCAAATGAAACAATTTTTATTTGCGTTGTTTTCTCTTTGCTGCTGCTGCTGCTGCATTCTTTTCCCAAATCTTGAACACACTTGAACATTACTCGTGTATTGATGATGTATTGATTGATATAAAAATTTTATTGTTTTCTTTTTTCTTCATTTTTTCTGACTTTTCTTGAAATAATCAAATTCTATCTAATAGTTGTTGTATGAAAAGAAAAAACACAAATCAATAAAAGATGATTATTATTTTCCCAATGAAAAAAAAAAAAAATTCGTGTCTTTCTTTTTTTCAATCAAATCAAAATGATCATCACTGATCATCGATTCGATCAATGTGTCAGAATCAATCAATTGGTTGTTACGGCAATGAATCGGATTCCATTTTTTTTTTGTTCGATATAATGTCAACGATTCCGGCGCTAGATGGCGCAGTAATAATCAAAAAAACTGATGAAACTGTAATTATATATTTGCTTTGTTCGTTATTATTTTTTGTTTCTGATTATTGATCTGAGATTCCAAATATTGATTGATTAGATTCGTTAAAAACGCCAAAGCATCAATTATGAATTTGTATTTTTTGTTTACCGAATTTTTGTCTTTTCTCTTTTTCCACAGGTTTTAATGATGATTGATTAACGAAGAAATAGTGTATTATTATTGGATACTGGCCATAAAAAAAACTAAGATTTTTTGCCAATACAATGATCCGAAAATTTTGTTATTGATTTTTTTAATTATTGATCAATCATCATAATAATTGTAAAAAAAACACTTTATCTGTTTGAATCAAAAAGTTTTTTCCATCGATAAAAGATTATTATCCCATTGTGTCAAGTGTTTTCCCGGATCATCATCGATTCGTCCATTGATCTTCATTGTTTCATCATCATATGATTTGAATTGGCTTTATCATTCAATTTTCATTTTTGCGATAATATGGCAGTTATCATGTTTTTTTTTGATAATCAACAACACTCGTGAGTAATATATACACTCACTCATTGTAACAACAATATAAAAACAAACTCAGAACGAATCTTTTGATTCTAATAAATTTTGTTTGTATGAAACAAACGAACGAAAAAGAAATTGCAAATTTTTTTTCAACTTTACCGTTCAACCGTTTTTTTCTCATTTATTTTGGATTCTCTTGTTCTTATGTTATTGTCCAAACGTTCATCGCTGTAAATCGATCCATCAACAACAAAAACAAATTCCATTCAACGAAGCCTACGGGTTTTTTTTTGTTCTTCTTTTCCTATTTTGTTTTTTTTTCTCTCATTGAATCTTCGATATCCGCTTCAGCGCTTTTTTCCATTTTATGGACCAATTATTTTTCAAGTTATTATTATCATCATCCAACAACCTATAACCTAGCATCGTGAAAGAATTTCAAAAAAAAATTAAAGTTTTTTTTTGTTTTATCAAGAATAAAAAAAAAGAATCTTTTGATTCTCTTGAAAAAAAACAGTATCAACAACAACAACAAAAAGTTGCAGCTGGATTTAGCATTCAAAATCAAAAATCTACATTCTGTGTTTTTTTTTCTCACAGAAAACTCTTCATTGCTATAATTAGTAGTAGTGAAATTGAAAGTTGAAAAACGAAAAAGAAGAAAAAGAAAAAGAACCAACGTGAAAAAAAATGTTCCAATTTATTTTGATATTCATTCTTTTTGGTTTGGTCCATTCTATGGTAAGTTTTGATTTCTTTTTTTCCCCTTGATTCTCTTTCTCATACAAAACCTTCCGGGCTTTTTTGCTTATTTCTTTCATTTCGAAAAGCTCAAATTTTCATGTTTATGTCTCATTTTTCTACACATGTGTGTGTGTGTGTGGGTAATATTAATTTAGTTCATGGTAATGACAATTATCATTTTTGTTCTTGATTCTTGATTTTTTTTTACTTTTTCTTTATTTCGGCCGATATTTTTCCAGGCTCAACCCTTTTTTATTATCATAATTATCATTATGTTGTTAAATTATACAGAACCAAAATTGGATTTTTTTTTCTTCTTGATTTTTTTTTTTTTTGGCCTAAATCGACTTTTGTCTTGCTTTTCCAATGATGATTGGTCGGCACTATTTTCGTTGTTGGATGCCAAATGGTTTCGTTATTTTGGCCAACGAAAACAAAAAAAAACTAGGCAAAGATAGGATTATTTTGTTCACGGTGTGTGTGTGTGTGTGTGTACAGTTGATTGGATTTTTGTTTTTGGTTTGTGTATTTAATATCATTCGAGTTGATTTTCTTCATTATACCTATGCAGCATTCAATCAATTTGATTAAGTTTTTTTTCACTGTTTGGTTTTATTTAGTCCGGTTTATTCTTGATTTTATTTAGGGTTGTTGATCTTAATTTTCTCACAGGATCTCAATTTCATTTTCTTGTTTTTGAATTTGAATCCCGAACCAAACGAATAAAAAACCGCACCCGTATCCATAAATTTTTTTTCTTTTTTTTCTTTTTGTATGAGTATATGTTTCACAGATATCTTTTTACCGTTAAAATACAGTTCTAGGTTTATTATTATGGCACGATTAGTATTCTCTAGTTGAAGTCTCAATTAGTTGAATGAATTTATTGAATAGAAGATAATCAATAGTCATTGATGAATCATCATCAAATTTAATGAGCATTGATTCCGGATCTGTTTGGTTGAGATTTCTCATTTCATTTATTTTTTTTTTTTATTTTTTTTTTTTTTTTTTGTTTCATTAGCAACATGATCGCACATTTACTGTGGATGAAAGTCAAGGAATATTTATAAAAGATGGCCAACCATTTCGTTATGTATCCGGTTCTATGCATTATTTCCGTATTCCTGACCAATATTGGTTGGATCGTCTACAAAAAGCACGTCAAGGCGGATTGAATGCCATACAAACGTAACTAACTGGCAAAGATAATTCTGTTCATGTTGGTTTTTTATTTAATTTTTTTTATACCTCATATAAAGCTATATTGAATGGAGTTCTCATCAGCCAGAACCTAATATTTATGATTTCGGTGGAAATCTAAATTTTAGCCGATATTTTCAACTAGCACAACAAGCCGATCTATTGGTCATTTTAAGACTTGGACCATTTATAGCTAGTGAAAGAGATAATGTAAGTATATTCTATGAACGGAATTTCGTGTGAACAAAAAAAATTTTCTCTATAGATGGGCCTACCATATTGGTTAGCATCGAAAAATTCGAAAATGCGTTATCGTACATCAGATCCTAGTTATCTTCATTATGTTGCTGAATGGTATGATAAAATGTTACCATTAATAGTGCCATATCTTTATGAAAATGGTGGACCAATAATCATGGCACAAATTGAAAATGAATATGGTTCATTTGCAGTCATTGATGATAAATACAAAATATGGTTACGAGATCTAATTCGAAGCTATGTTGGACCGCAGCTACTATTGTTCACTGTTGATGGTGATGCAAATTATTACCTGTCACGTGGTACAATTGATGATGTTTTTCCTACTGTTGATTTTGGTCCTGGCACACAAATAAATCAGTCATTTTCAATACAAAAACTTTATTCATATAATGGACCATCAGTTAATACTGAATATTATACCGGTTGGTTTGATTGTTGGGGATCACCACATTCAACCAATTCATTGGATGAAATTGTTAAAAGTTTTGATCAAATGTTGGCAGCAAATGCTTCAGTCAATTTGTAAGTACAAATAAGTGATTCACATTCACACACGAATGTACGACAAAATTCACTTTGCATTTGTATGTCTGTGTGTGTGTGTGTGAGTATGTTGATGACATTTAAACCACATTTAACCGATAAAAATTTATTTCAATCTTATGCAAATTTATATTTACATTTACATGTTCGAATCGTTGGAAATTTCTTTATTTATTTTCACATACACACACATTCAGTTATATGTACCATGGTGGTACATCATTTGGATTCATGAATGGCGCCATTGGCGATTGGGGAAAACGATTTGCACCAATGGTTACTAGCTATGATTATGATGCACCAATTGGTGAATATGGCCAGCTACGTCCACTATATTTTGCTATTAAAAAAGTCATTCAAAAGGTTTGTTTTTGTTTTGCTTTATTTGAAAAGAAGAAACTAGTTGTATAATAGCCATTAAATCAATTCAGTTGAATTCAAATGGAGCCATTTGCCAGAATCGATACGATTGATTTAAAGATTTTTTTTTTTTTCACTGAATGAAATTTAGGCCAATTTTTCTTTGTTACAATTCGTCACTTTATATTTCTATTTGTTCACGAATGTGTGAATCCTTTTTCTTTTTCTTTATTGATTTTAGTATTTTTCCAATATTCCAACAACAAGACAGTCGATCGATTTGGCTGATGTTTCACAAATGTCCAATAAGTTTGCAATCGATACAATCGAACAAGCTAAACAATCATATAATCACCAATGGCAAATAGCAAGTGGCAACGAAAACAAAAAACAACCAAAAATCATTAATATTCAAGTCGATTTTCTAACCGATATTTTTCAATTGATAACAAATCAATCATCAGAAGAATCTGGACCAACAATAAAACCTATCGAATCATTATGGCCATTAACATTTGAACAGCTAGGTTTACGTCATGGTTTCATCTATTATCAACATGTGATTGATTTTCATCCATCTGATCCAATATTATTGAATATAACACAATTACATGATCGTGCATTGATATTCATCAATGATATATATCGTGCAACATTAAGCCGTATGGATATGATTTTTACAGCACCATTGAATTCATTACAAAAAGGTGATATTATTGGATTATTGGTCGAAAATCAAGGTCATACATGTTGTTCATTGCAACCCGAACTAAAGGTTAGTATATCACACAAGCTACACATACATACAAAAATTCATTCCTATAGTGAGTGAGAGGGAGAGAGAACGGAAAAAGATGATAAATTTTATGTCTACTAATCAAAATAATGATAAAGTTTTCCTGATTCCACCGGAATATCAAAGAATCAAAAAAAAACACCAAGTTATTTTTCTGAGTGATATCATCTAAAAACATTTGAAACAATGAAAAATGCCAGAGATATACGAAAAAAAAATAATGTTAGACAGCTAGTGAGATAGGTTCTCTTTTTTTGTGTTGTTGTTTCTGATCAAGATTCTGTAACAACAACAACAACAACAAAAACAACAAACAGCAACAGCGATAAACAAAATGAATCGTTGACAATTGCGTTGTTTCATTTGTTTGTTTGTCATAGTCGCTATCTTTGCTGTCATTTATATAATACTAATAATAATAATAATCAAAAGACTAATTAATGTAATGTAATGAATGAGAAATTTTGTTGTCTTGTTTTATGTATTTTTTTTTTCTCTTGTTTCAGTAAAACCAAACAAAACAACAATCATAATATGTTTTGATGACTTACAGTATTTTTTTTTCTAGATTCAGTCATCATCATCATCATCATTGATGCTTGGTGATGGTAATTATCAGTGTTTTTTTTTTTTTTTTTGAATGAAAATGAAAATAAAATCTACACATTGCCACACACATATAACATTTTTATTTATTATGATTATTAGTGTTTCAGGAACAACAACAATCCACTATATAATTATGGAAAAAATGAATGAAAAAAATTTTTTGTGTATTCAAATACTATGGATCACTTGCCATTTGATATTTGGATGTTCATCAAAACAAAACAAAAAAAAAGTATAAAGAATGTGTTCATAATAAAGGTGCCAGATGGTGTCACATCTGTGATTTTTATTTTTTTGTCACTCTTGTATTCAAGTGATCATTGATTGAATTTCATCAAAATCAATGACGCATAGAATTCAATATTGAATCGATATTTCTGGATAAAAGTGGTCAATATTTGTTCCGAATAAATGGATGAGAATTTCTTCTTTTTACTTAATTTCATATCTTTGAATTTTGTTCTGTGATTCGATAATTGATCGATGATAAATTTTCTCATTTTCATTTTCATGTTCATGTTTTCTACACATTTGGTAGATAAAAACATGTCATAATAGATGAGAATAGCCAGCTATTAATAGAGGACAAATTAATAATGACCACTGCCATTAACCACTACCAATGATGATTGCCAGAGATGTGTTTTGTTGTTGTTGTTGAAAGATCGAAAGAGAGCTTTTAAAATTTTTTTTTTTTTTGTCTTTCGATCACAAAAATAGATAATACATACAAATATGTGTGGTCAGAACAACAACAACAACAAAAAAACACAGAAAAAACCATAAAGCTAAAGCTAAAGACAAAACAAAAGATTAATCAAAATTTATCTATCTCATTCGTTAGTGCTTGTGTCATCATCAATATCACCAATAAACAGATCGAATAGCAATCTAAAAACCGATATATTCATTAATCTTGGAATTTATCAAACATAAACGAATGAGATGAGCTCTGTTTTTACAATAGAAAAACAACATCGATACAATGGAAAAGTACATTTTGAATCAAGAAATTTTCGGCGAAACAAAAAAAAATTTATTTGGAAATTTTCCGATTTCATTCGGTTTTCTTTTCCTTTTTTTTCTTCATTTTATTATTTGGTTGGTAGATAATAACGATGCAAACCAATCAACCAACCAATGATGATGATGATGATATCTATCTAGTTTTAGTGTTTAAGCACTAATTTATACTTCACTGTTTGAGCACATTATTTTTCTCTTGTTCATCTCTCTCTCTCATAGTGGATAGGAGATCAACTTTTTTCTCTCTATTTATTTATACTAAAGATGGCAATTAATGATCTTTGTCATATATGAAGTCGAAAAAAAACTTGAAAGAAAGTGAAACTTGTCTAGGGATTTAGCCAAAAAAAAATCTATTGGGATATTGAGATTTTGCTTGTCTTTGTATTGAAGGTCTTAAAATGAATCGGTCCAATCAAACTCTAATAACCAAGTTCTAGAAACAAAAAAACTGCTAGGATTAAAGAATTCAATAATTTTTTTCTTTCTTTATTCTTCTTTCAATATAGGGAATCGTTGGCAATGTAACACTTGGTGATCGCATACTAAAAAAATGGCAACAATATCCATTATTTTATAATTGGTCATCAACAATAGACACAACATTAATACAATCATCATATATGACATTGGATAAATCCAATGAATTATCCGAATACAATTGTCTTTGTCCAGATCGTACATTTGAATTATATCCATCATTTTATTTGGGCATATTCAATATGACTGAACAGAATGGATCACATGATTGGTTTCTTGATGTTCGCAGCTGTGCACGTAAAGGTGTTGCATTTTTAAATGGCCATAATATTGGCCGTTATTGGCCAGTAATGGGGCCACAAATAACATTGTATATACCAAAACAATGGTTTCAACATGATGATGTGAATACATTGTTATTATTCGAAATTGAAAGTGAACGAAAATCCTGTTTTCAAGTTAAATTAACTGATCAACATATATTGAATGGAACGGTTCCGGAAAATTATTTAACCGGAGAAAATCAAACATTCGATCAACAATTTCGACCACATCATCGTTGAAATTGTTCATTGAAATGAAACGAAAAAAAAACCATATATATTTGAATCATGAATAAATTCCATGGTAAATCAAATTTATCATTTCAATTTTAAATGTGATTCAAAGCTTCGACTACAAGAATCCACATTTTCATCTGAAAATTTTTGGATTTTTTTCCATTTATTTCCAAAATACCATTCCTTACACATACACACACACACACACACACAATATCTCACTCATTCATCATTTTGACAATTTTGAGCTTTTGTCTTGTGAGTCAGAAAAACTAAAAAAAAAAAAAATTCAAGCAACGATCACTATATATATGTGTGTGTGTGTGTGATCAATAAAGTAAAGATTTGAAGAAACGAAAAAAAAATTGTAATGAACTCTCATCATCATCATCATCATCTGTTTTTGTTTCATAAATTATTTTTTTTCCAAATCTCCAGAAGATTTTTTTTTTTTTGATTTTTCATCATCAGATCAATTTTTCATTTGTTTTGCTAAAAAACTTTTTTTTTCACAATTCGTTTGCAAAAACTCGTATTTGTTTTTTCTTGTTTTTGTTTTTGTTTTTTGTATTTGCACTGGAAAAAAACAAACAATCCGTTGTTATTTTTGTGATTTTTTTTTATTTTGCCAATATAATCACCGTCATACAGCAAACGTTATTTGTTTTGTTGTTTTCATGTCGAAATCCATATGATGATGATGTTTAAATGGAATAAATTATTCATTTTAAAACTGGAAAAAAATGGTAAAAAAAATTTTTTTCTTCTTGAATTTCATTTTCAACAAAATGGTGAACAGAAACGAAATTCTTTTCTTTTTTGCTCCATGACATTTGTATGGTTGACTTATGAACTTTTCATTTTGTTTCTCCATTTTCTTCTGTTTTATGGTAGGTGAATTGATGAATTTTCTGAGTGGTAAACTTTTTTTCCTCCACCAAGCATCCAATCGATGTCGGTAATTAATTTCCGTTTTTGTGGATGGATTTGTGTGCGTGGATACATGTGTTTGTTTAAAGTTTAAGAAAGTGAAAATAAAACAAAAAAAAAACATGAATATGATAATGAAAAAAAAGAACTGGTATGTGTGTTTGGTTTGTTTGTGTTTGCTTATTCATGAATAAAAAAAAAGAATAATGTACACATCACATCACATCTGGCAATCGAGAATCGCATCCATCATCATCGTTGTTGATGAGATTCCAGATTCTTGATAGTGGTCCGTCTAAAAAACTTTTGTTGTTTCGGATACACAAATGGAAAATTGTTTTTTTTCTTGTTTTTGTTTTTCCCAAACACTAATCAATATTTTCGATATTTTCATCAATAATTTGTGTCTGTAAAGGATGGAGTTTTTTTTTTTTTTTTTTTTTGCATTTGAATATCATACATATAAAGTTGGTTTTGCAAGATGAATGGAAAAAAGAAAACAAAAACCAATTCAATCAATTTTAATAACCAACTAATACATATCCCCATAAGAAATGAATACTTGGCAACAACCCACTCCCCAGAATTTCGAATGTTTCAAAAGATTTAGCTTTTCTTTCCCATAATTTCAATTTATTTCCATCGAAATTTTTGTATTCAAGCACGAAAATAAAAAAAAACCCAGAAAAGATTAATGGTATTAAACATTTTCTTCAGGCTACCACCACCACCACTATAATTGGAACATTCAATTTTATTCATCTATAGTTTGATTTATGCAATTCTTCTGTATTTTTTTTATTTTTATTTTTATTTTATTTGTCACCAATCTTGTTTTGGGCCCTTTTTTTCCCATACAATTACGTTTTTCTTCAAAATATATTAATATTCCAAATATAAAAATTATTATTATCATTACGCAATAATATAGAATAAATAAAATCTCATTTTCTTGAAAAAAAAAAAACATCGTTTGAAATAGAAATAAATGCAAAAAAAAAAAAAATAAGACCCAGATTTTCTTCCAGCATCCAATGTGTGTGTGTGTGTATGGTGCCATTTATTCTGTCAAATATTCTTATTGCTTAATGCTGCTTTTGCTGCTTCTGTTTGGCATCTGTAAATGTTATTTTGGCAATGAATTGAGCCTTTTTTTTCTTTCACCATTCATCAGTGGTTGTTATTGTTATTATTATTATTGTTTTCCGTTTCTATTTTCCGATATATACCGATATTGTCCTGAGAACACCAACACTATATATATTGGTGTTGGTGTTCTACACAATCATCATCAATGAAAACATCTTTTTGACATCACATTCTATTATTCTGTCCTATTCTATCCCTCCACTGATAGTTATTCTTTTTCGTTCCAGAATGGTTATTGTTGTTGCAAAAGAATAAGAAAAGACAATTTCTTCAGTTCTTCAGTTTTTTTTTCGTTCAAGTATTAGTCTTTTTTTTCAAACAACATCAACGACAATCAAAGAACCGAATAATAAAAATTAAAGAAAAAGAAACGCACACACACACATCAATAAACCAGAACCAATCAATAATTATCGATGAGTCTGATGATGATGATGATGATTTCCGACAAAAACCCCAGAAAACAACGACTCAACGAGTATTAATGAAATATATCATTTCCTGATGAACCAAAAAAAAAAAAAAAAAATATCGATACTTTTGTGATATAATAAGCTCAGCAGCTGATTTAGAAAAGCTTTACACACATCATCATACTAAACAAACCAATTTTGCCATCCTGCTGTGTGTTGTGGATAGTAGTCCCAAAAATAATAAAATATCCGTGATTGTCTGACCATTTCAAATAACTATCCAGTCTGAATGACACAAAAAAAGTAAGGACCGGAAAAAATACCGTAAAAATTGAATGATCCAAAGCCATTTGAGCAATATTGAAATCTGAATTGGCTTTTTTTCGGTCATCATAATATGATGATGATGATTGTCGTAGTGGGTCGATATGATACCCCCATACACAATCATATTTTGTCGAATGATTGGGCGTTTTGTTTCGTTTCGTTTTTTTCTTTACATGACTATTAAAATAATGTTTTTGCTGTGTTCAGCAACAACACATTCAATGAGCGAGAAGATATTTCTTGTTTTCAACGAGAAAAAAAAAGAAAAAAGAAAATCCACAGGAAATTCACATTCATTTATGCGACCATATGAAAACAGAAAAAAAAATCTTCTATTCCACTACATTGATTTCTTACTTGAATTTTTTTTTCTGGTCATTTATGTTGTATGCCGACAGACTGATCCATCTAAATTAATTATGACAATAATGATAACGATGATCATTATTAATGTGCATTTGCAGTTTTTCTCTGGTTTATTGAATTTTCAAATCCTTTTATAACAAACGAAAAATGGATTTTCGTGTTAATGTAGACAGAGAAATATTCTCTGCAAAAAAATTCATCAATCAACTAGCCACACCACACATCAATAAGTGATGATTTGCACAAAAGACCAAGACTGATATTTTTATATCTGATTATTTGTTGGTGAAATATAGAGCGAAAAAAAATGCCTTGAAGCATCGGAAAAAATAAAATCTGCTACAGCCAATTCTGAATAATAGTAGCTATAACAGAACGTAGAAATGTTGAAAAAAAACAAGATGAAACTGAATTCTTATTCTTGTAATACAAAAAAAAACTTGAATTTCCTTCCGGTTTTTTTTGGATATTCGAATTTCTTCAGAATAAATTGAACTATTTTTTTTCATTGTAAAAAAAAATGAAAATAAAATTTTTGCTTTGGAATTTGAATTTTTTCTTTCTTTGAATTTTCCTTCCGTTTCAAAAAACATTCAATCCATATCGACGTCGAACACTGAGAAGATTGTCAGCAAAAAAAATCATATTAATCATCATCATCATCGTTATTATTGTATCCTGGACAAAGTTTTCAAGTAAAAATCCATCGTCCAGCTTGTTTTCTATTATGTCACGGTTAAGTCAAAAAAAAAAGTCATGCCACTTGTGTTGATCAAAAATCATTGTGATTCACTTTCATCATCATCATCATTAGTTATATCATCACAAGAGGATCAATCACACTTGAACTTGTTTTGATTTTCTTTTCTTTTTCGTTGTTGTTGTTGTTGTTGTTCATCATTCATTTGATTTTCCATCAATTGCATATATGCTGATTCAATGTTTAATAATTGACGATTTTTTTTTTCTTTGTATAAGAAAAAACAACATGATGTTGATGATTGCACTTGATAATAAATGATAATGGTCTGAATTTTTCCTCTTTTTTTTGCCTATATTTTTTTAGATTTTCCAGATTTTTTTTTTCTCATTTTACTATCAACTCGGGTTCAATTTAACTTGTTTTTGGCTGTGTAGATAATCATAGTGATACTGATGATAATGATGAATTCTCAATGGAATTTTATTCTTTTCTTTTTTTTCGCAAAAGACAAGGATCAAGAGAAATTGGAAAAAAATTCCAATTTGCCACAGTTTATATGAACTGTGTGCAAAAGTTTAAATATGTTTTTTCCTTTTCATTCATTCTGATTCAGTTTCCATGACATTGATAAAGATGGAATTGTCTTTGTTTTTATAATTCAAATATATAAAATCTTGTAACGTTTTATATGAAAGGTCTCACAGCATGTGATTATTGTTTATTTTGTGTTCAAAAATTGTCACAGAAAGCTAAATGTTGTCATCAGATGTGGAAAAAAAAGTGAAACTTTCAACCGATATGATAAGATACTTATCATCATCAATAATTCTGGTAAGTCAAATTTTTTTTTCATTTCATTGTAGTTTTCTGATGAGCATCTTGGTAGTTTTTCATCGATTTTTTTTTATCTTTCTGTATGTTCTCGGTGCGCTTGGTTTTGGCTATTTCAATTGTATATATCGAAAGACGAAAATTAATTACATTTTTTTTCTTTCTTTGTCCGGCATTTTGTTTGTTTGCTATCCTATTCTATGCTTTGCTATGCATGTTTTACTGTAACTTGTCATGTTATCTGTATTCACACACATAAATGTAGGTCGCAATTGCAACATTTTATGCTTAATAAGCATTCCTTTATATATATATTTAATTTATAGACAATCAGTAATAGCGTTTAAGCGTGTGGGAT